AAGCAATTATGATGACAACTGATTCTTGAACAAATGACTGCCAATCAGGTGTTCGCAATTCAGAAGGAAGAATACACCGAAGCGGAAACCAAAACGAAGGATGAATTGAGTTTCTTGTGCCCCAAACCACAGATCCGCAGCACCATTCCGAGGCGGGTCAGAAAGCTCTCCTCAGACAGGAAGCTTGCAGGCACTTAGTCATACACTCGTAATCATAAAAACGGGAGACTTGCTATTAGCGAATCAGATCTATGGGGAGAGGGGACAAGAACCCAATCCAGCCCTTCCATTATGTAATCCTCTGCCCGCCTCAGAAAGGGGCTCTAGGGAGCGAAACTCCAGGCGTCCACATAAACTGATGCAGAGTGAGGTGAAGACAAGAGAGTTCATGGGTTTCCACTTTCACAGACATTTCCTTACGACTGACCCTCCTCTCTAATGACTGCTGCTAGAGAGTGCGGACGCTTGCGGTACGTCAGGGAAACGTCCTGGGTACTGCAAACGCGCAGCAGAGAAGGCTCAAGTCAACGGCTACATATTACACTTGCATTTACGGCCTAAGTCAGTGGGATGAAACTTGCCTCTTCATTTTTAATGCAGGGCAGTGGGCTATTCATACTGTTAATTCGCCCTTTGGGATTGTAACGGTACTTGTCAAATGCTCAAATACTTTAAGGATATTACACCCTTTAATTCTTGTTGATCCTAGGCAATTATTTTCCTTTAATGGGATGTAAATGTGTAAAGCTTATTTTGCTTCTCCAAAGAGTGTGAGGTCTGGTAAAATCTTAAGTGATTTACAGAATAAGGCTGCCATCCTCCATCAGTGGTCCGTGAAAACCAGCCGCCGCTCTTCCCCGAGACGCCCTAATCCTGGATGCAGGACCAACATTGTCCTAGGATTGAAACACTGATGCCAAGGTTCATTTCTTCCACTTCCTAGTCTTTCTTGTAAATCAGTCACCGAATTTGCGGGTTCTTCTTCCGTGACAGCTTTGGCTCTGCCCTCACTGCCTCCTCTCTGCCCTGTTCATCACTTCCCTTCCAGAGGGCTGCTGTTCACTAGACCACGCCCTCAGAAGTCTTTATGATCTCTAATCGCATCCCATAAACGTTTCCAATACTTTTCTTGCTACCTGTGTCTTTCAGGTGCTCAGTGCACGAATCACCCTCCACGACCCACCTTCAGCTAGCTTGGGCCATACGCATTGCAGCCCCAGGCATCTCTGAAAACATATTCGCAGTTAAGATCCTTCACTGTTACCCTTAGTAATCCCCTTGCCTTCTCACCTTCTCCAGCCATCCACAACACAAAGGGATTCCTGTGCTTCACAGCGTCTAGTCATCTGCTAGAAACTCTCCCCCAAGTTCCCGCCCAAGTTCAGCCTTGTGTCAGAGCACTCACACCGAGTAGGCCACACGGCTGTCTTGGGCAAACTTCGGGACACAGACAATGCTTTGGCACCACTCCCTTGGTATCTCTCAGTACTTCTGTGCTTCAGCATTTATTTTTTCTACCTGAATTGTAAGCTCCTTGTGGCTAATGTCTTTTAAGATGCTCGATGCCAAACACATTACCTTGCAGACTCAACAGCTATATGATGAAGATGGTAAAACCAATGAAATTAGTCATTGTTACACACCTCAGATCAGTGACTCTAACACTGTCATTGTGCATGAGAATAACTTAGTATGTCTGCTAGGAATGTATATTCCTAGACGCAAACCCAGAGATTTGGTCTCAGGTAAGGGGAAAATAATTAAAGACTTCTAGAGAATTCTCACGCAGTTAACACGCAGATGGTATTTTGAAAAACATCATCACTGATTAATTTGAAACCGTAAATACAAATAAAGCAAGCACCAAAGTATGCAGAATTATAAACAATGGAGACAGACAACGTGGCATGTTGCAAACTACTTGCCATTATTAGGAAGTTTTTTTGGTGACAGACATCATAAACCATATATATGTGCTTTGACTATTTTAATTTAAAATAGCAATTCTCATTAAAGCAATCTGTGTTAATATTAAGCTAATCCTTTTTTGCATTTAAACTGTAAAGTAGGGATATTTAAAGTTACATAAAACAGAAAAGAAGTTACATTTTCCCACTCAATAATAACTGATGTTCTAGATTATTCAGTTAATTGATACAACATTATAAATCTGTAAGCATTCTTTTGTTGATCTTGACCTTTAATAAAGGCATGGGCAACAGAAGACATGCTCTCCTTGAATGCATTACTCTAAAATATATATAAGGATCTAGGTACTTATACTACCAGTCCAACACTTTTTGGAATAAAAGTGTACTTCACATAATTCTTCCTTTATTATTATACACATTTTTTCTTTTAAAATCAAACTCCTGAACTCCGTCCAACTAGAGTGAACTCTGTGCAATGTCACGTTGGCAAATAACTGCATTTAGCAATCTAGTTGCTCTTTCTAGGCTTTGCAGATGTTTTAGTTGGACGATAATTCTATATATTTCCTCTTTTTCCCATCATGCCCAGTTAACTTTAATTCTGTAATAGGCGATACTTTGTTTGCCTTACTTTTATTTATTTATTTATAAATAGTTTATTGTCAAGTTGGTTTCCATATAACACCCAGTGCTCATCCCCACAAGTGCCTTCCTCCATGCCCATCACCCCATCCCCTCCCCCCCACCCCATCAGTCCTCAGTTTGTTCTCAGCATTCAAGAGTCTTACTTTTCCGATGCCAGCTTCCTTGTACTACTGTCCTTCAGGGAAACATTTTAGGATCTTTTAGTAAGTCATGTACCACGAATAATTAGAAAGAGGAGCCTAACAAATGCAAATGTAAGCAAGGAACAAGGAGATCTCATTTCTCTTTGTGATTTTCCCTCCCATTTTTTGTGTGCCTTTGTAGGTGGGGTGAAGGGCTGGATGGCTAAACTTGGTTCACAGTTTGTGAGCTGTTCTGTATTTTTGAAACATTACAAAAATACTTTCTAAACGTAAATTACCAAAACTCTGCCTCTGCTGGAGATTTTGTATAGTTAGTGTCCCTTATTCATCTGAAATCTCTTCTGGGAGTATAGGTAGTTCACAGGAAATTAACACTCAGTTCCTCTCCAAGGCTTACATCCAAAGGAGTCCCTTGTTTAGGCCACTAGGGAGAGACGTGGAGTCTATGCACAGTGTCTTTTGGGAGTTTCATGGCAAGGACACAGCAGTTTCACTGAAGGCATTCACGACACATGCCCTGTCAAGACTCCACTCAACCAATGAGAACACTTTAGCGCCCACATAATATGCTGTCTTGTGGTCTGTGGAACTCAAAGACCTAAGATGATGCTTCACAGTGAAAAAGAGTGCCCATCACATACAGAATATCAACTCTCGTGCACCGTGTAGGACATAAAAGATGGTCAAGTAGGAAAAGCAGATAAAAACGCATAAAGATTCTCACAGTAAACACTTGATTGCATCACCAGTGAAGACGCTTTGAAGACTAAAAATAAATGAAGTTTAACCTCCAGCCGGCTGCCGGTGCATAATACAGACACATGTGCACAGAGGGGGACATTCATTCACGACTGACCCATGAGTGGTGGCTCTCATACAGGCTTCTGGCTTATCAGGAAAGACTTCTCATTTTACTTCCTTCTTCACACTTTCACACTTGCTCTCAAACCAGTTACGTGATCTCTTTCACCAGCCACCTCTCTGAGTGTTGTCTTACTAAGTCATACTTTTAATGGCTTGACTTTGCAGAAACAAAGTGAGTAGCTATCGTGAAACTCAAGGCATTCCAATGACAGGAAGTGTGAGCGGGTCTAACGCTACATTTTTGTGGCATTTAAGCACAGGAAGACATTCTCACGATAATACTTCTACGACTGTAAGTACTTGTGTTAAAAATTATTTCACCAATCCTAGAATACTCTGTGTTCCGCAACTTCACAGTTTTTTTAATTCACAAGTTAAATGTTTTTCTTGACTCTTACACTGAATTACAAATTCTGGGTTTTTTTCTTTTTCATTTTTACCCCCAAATTTAAATTTTATAGGTAGTTTTTTTTTTTTTTTGTCTTCTCAATCTTAAAACACATTGCAAAATGTAACTGCGAAGGCAAATCAATTTCTACACATTCAGCATCTTGTCCACCAAGCACCTCAACTCACAGTTAACAGTCACACACCAGGGGCAGCTCTCCCCTTGCCATCGTTTGAAATGAAACCCTTCATTCTGTACCCAGCCAGGGGTGCTGCGCCTGTTTGAAGGGGGGCATCCCAGAGTATGTGGAATATGGAAAGTTCTCCGGGACTTCCCAGCTCTCTTACGCATCCTCTCCATCCTTAACGTCAGGTCTGAACTTTCTTAGGTGCACATTTTGGAAAAGCGAGTTGAGAAGCGGGCACACCTGCGGCAACTCCTTTTTGAAAATCAGAACGTCTCCAAAGTGTCTTGGCAACATCTTCCGGCCAAGGGTTAAACCGCGATTTCATAAACCCCACAAGACAACAATCCACCTTACTGTCCAGGGATTTCAAGACCAGATTTCAGCCGCGCGGACTGTGATCTGGAGGAGACCCTGCCGCGGGGACTCGGGAGTGTTGAGCCCCGAAGCCCCGGGGACTAAACCCCCTGCACGCGCTCCCTGAAGCCGCCCAAGGGGACACCCCGGGAAAACGGACCCGGGCTGCCGGAGCCCAGGCGCCTCGCGCGCATCTGCTCGCGAGGGACGAGCCGCGCCCCCGGGGAGGGCTCCGGGCGCCCCCGGCCGCGGGGCACCCACCCCCGGCAGGCTCCGCGACCTCCATCCCCCCCCCCCCACTTCTGCGGCCGCTCCTACCAGGCTTTCTGGCTTTCCTCCTTAGTGAACAACTTTATGCAAAGGCAGAAAACTTTTCTCCCGGGAAGCGTGCAGTCTGCTCAGAGTAACCTGCGATGCAACGCGCCCGGGGCGAAGCGGCAACACACGCCCGGGGCGGCGCCCCCCCCGGGCCCCCCCCCCGCACCTACCTGGGCCTCGTCCGCGTCCGGCTCCGCGTCCGAGAAGCCGAGTCCCGACTCGAAGGCGGCGGCGGCGGCGGCGGGCGCG